GTAATGCACACAACGATTCCCCATTGGTAGAAAATTACATTTGAAATAACACGTGGATTCCTTCCGTTTTCGGAAATTTTTTCGAAAAATGGCACGTTACGTTTTTTCAAAAACATTCGAATTAAAGAATCCGGTTATAACGAAAGCTATAAAGAAGTAAGCCTGAAGAAGATCCCAGGAGGGGAATCGAAAACGTTCGCCGATTTTAAAGAATTTCGCACCGGTTAATGGTTAATTGTAGGTAGTTGTTGGTTTGGAGTATATACAACCCGATGTGGTAAGAAAGCACATTAAATAACCCTTACGGTTTGTTACTACAAGTGGACCAGGACAGTAAAAGTATTGTAAATTTTTTGGACATTTCCATCGCTTGCAGACAGGGAGAAATCTGGACCAGCATATACATAAAACCATGCTTTCAACCCACTTTAATTCTGCATAATTCGATCAATCTGCATCACATCAAATTATCAGCCTTAGGTCCTGGATAAAAAGAGCTTATATGCATTGTACAAGCATAAAAGACACAGTAATTGAGCTAAACTATATTATAAGGATTGCAGAACAATAGGGATACTGAAAGAAAATCATAGTGAAACTTATTGCAACCTTCAAACAACTAAACAACAGCATCCTACGGGAAGACCATAGACAAAGGATGGTTTTAAATTATGTCCCATTTTTGAGACAAATACATAAAGAAATGGCCAAAAAAGAATAATTTCCGAGTGATATATCAACACAATCCTACAGTTTTCAAGCTATTAAAAAATGATAAGAAGCAATATGTCTGGGAATCGACATCAGAGATCTATTCTATACCTTTATGTGAGGCCCTGGAAATAGCCCCTCCCCCTAAAAAAAAAAAGGAAAGATATGTAAAAATTTGTTATGTTAAATCGTCAGGAAAGCAAATTATAAGTGTCGAATCGGCGACACCCGACTTTGACGTCGACGCTCATCAAAAGTTGACGGAAAAACCAAATTTTAGATGTAAAAAGAAAAAAATTTAAAATATTAAAACTTAAGACGCAGTTTAGAAAGCAAAACGAAACTAGATAAAAAAATGTCTAGATGAGCGAAGGTGTCATAGTCAACAATTAAACGCGATCAGATTCGAAAAGATGGTGTCGGATAAACCATCTCCAGCCGACCTTTTCCACGAACTTAACGAAGCTCCATTTACACCTGGAGACAGGTGTATGAGCAATTGGAAAACGGTGATGTAAGAACTATCCAATTGACAAGAAGCCGATCGCAAAAACCCTATAAAAACGCAAAAATCAAGGACAACGAAACTTCCACTAAGACTTTTCCACCTAGACTACCTGTTGTGTTCGTTTGTCGACAGCTGTCGTGTTTCCTTTCATCTTTTGTGTGCTGTCACTTCAGATCTCGAACTTCTCACTCGACGCAGTCACGGGGCCCCTCCAGCGTAGGACCAGATCGACACCGAAAACAACCCAAGGTTCTGAACTTAAGGACCTTTGCCAAAAAATTATGTAAGCATTATCGTCCGGAATAAACGGTTTACCTTTGTAAACACTTGTCTTTGCTGCCTATAAAAACCGCCACCCACATACGCTAAGACCTTAGACCATCCCGATGGTAGGGAATAAAAATCTCTCCCCCAATCGGCGTTCTTACAATAGTTAGGGATACGGGAAAGAAAAATGTTAAAAAACAAGGAAAAAGGGNAACGGTTTACCTTTGTAAACACTTGTCTTTGCTGCCTTTAAAAACCGCCACCCACATACACTAAGACCTTAGACCATCCCGACGGTAGGGAATAAAAATCTCCCCCCTCAATCGGCGTTCTTACACTTTACACGATCAGCATTTTAATTAGGATCTTGTCTATGTGGGCGCAAAGATGCGCAACTTGCAGTAACGTATCGAAGAGCATAAATATATGATTAATAAGAACCGTGACAACACCATGCTATCAACTTACCAACACAACATGACATTCAAGTCTATTGGGATTGGGCGGAAATAATTAAACCTACAATAAATTTACACACAATGAAATATCTGGAGAAATTGGAGATCTTTAAGGCACACAAGAAAACTGCTTGCATCAACCATAGAGATGCAGACTCTTTACCTACCGTATGGCGATCATTTCACAAAGATTAATGATATTAAGAGACTTTATTTATTTTATTTTTTAGGAACATTTTCAGTTTAATTTATATTGTTTCACTTATTTTATCCACCACAGCTACTTTTCCGTTATTTATATTTTTAATTTCGTATTTACATTCTTTTTTGTGTTCGATTTTATTCTATATGTTAACTGATGAAGATTGTTAAGAAACGGTCAAAAACGTTTTTATTTTATTAATTTTTATTTGCTGGATTATTAAAGGTGTGTTTTATTCGTAGTATATTTATCCAGTTTAGTTCGTTATACCAAAAGAATTTCAATAAAAACTAAAAATGCTTTAACAGAAACTTTCAAGATAAAAATATAATAATTAAAGCATTAAATATGTGATTAATTAGAATAAATTATGGCATTTAAACAGTTAGGTCTATAAAATAAAGGAAATGTTTTACAAAATATTAAGGAGAATAATGATAAACCTTTTAATAAATGCCATACTGAATACATAACAAATATAATCAAATGAGCAACTAAAAAAACCTGCAATAAATTGTTTTTATTTATTTATTATAAATATTAAAAATAAGCAAATTTAATAATTTAAATAACATTTATTAATAGAATAATTTATAAAAATTTAAATTACTGTAAACCTAGAATATTTTTGATTTAAATCATTAGGAATTAGAATAGAGACATGAACAGAATTTAATAATTTCATGAACTCTTTTGAAGAGGAAACTCATTTAATTTTTTGGATTTTGTTTAACAGTTTATTTTTCGAGTTTGTTTTTGGATTATATTTTAAATTAATTGGACAACATAAATTAGGCAGTTAGACCACTACATTTAAACCTAAGAATAGCCTAAGCCTAAGAATAATGAAGATTCAGGGGTCTACCCAAGAAGGTGCTTATCATGCTGCAGTACTCCCTTGATACTAAAGCAATCAGTTTTATTTCTTTGAAATAAATATAATAATGCATAATTGCTTGGTTTCAAAGTTGAAAACTTTTCATTTTGCTAATGAAAGCACACCATCTATACATGGGTTTTTATACCAATAGATGATACAATCGCTGAAAACATTGCTGCAGTAGATTTTGTCAGTGAATGAAAAGTATTCTCATGTTTATAATGTAATAGCTTATGCAGTCTTTACAGTTTTCTGCAGATCTGCAGTAAAATGATAACTTAAAAATGAACATATTTTTATAGAATTTTATGCATGATAAAATTCTCATGGCCACTACTATAAATTTATTTATGTTGTTCATATCAATATAATTTTTGCAATTACTAACATTTTAATTTCTGTACAACATGGCATTAATTATTCCATGATTAAATAAATGAATTACAACTATAAGCTATGCAAACCCATAGTTATTAGTATGATGATATGAGCAAATTTTGTAGACAAACAAGTTTAGTAAAACAAGAATCTTTAATTCATGTAACCAAATACAGGAACTTCTTTTATAGGATGTCAGCTATACAATCTCTATCCCTTACATGAATGCACAATAATACCGTAACTGACAATAAGAAAAAAGATATAAATTGAAATACCGCAACAAGCGATTCTTACTTAATTAATATTTTACAAAAGACAGATACAAATATCTATGTATTTCTTACAACTACCATATAACTAACTATTATAAATTTAAGAGAATAGGGAGATTTAGAGCAAGGAAGAAGGTAGAAGATAGAAAAAAAACAGGGGTACCCAAGATTATTGGCAGTGCTCTCGATGCATTAGATCAAAAGGATGAACCACTTTCTAATTAAGATGAATATTAGCTTAGTTCACCAAACCTCATATTAAGTCAAATACACTGGGACGAAAATGGTACTCTTGTATTTTCACTATCAGGAATCTACTTCTTTTTTCTCCAATTCCTTTGTCTTCTGCACTAGATGTCACCAACGTGCTGGAGATCTTTGTTCACACGTCCCTTCTCGTCTGATTCCACCCAAAAAAATAATCCTCCTGGTCTATAGCCTGCCCTTAGGGTTGCACACTGTCCCATTGTTCTTAAGGGACATCTGCTGTTAAGAAAATGTTCGTTTTCTATTGCTTAGCCAAACTTTGCACCGGTTATTGGTTTAGAGAGTCTTATTTTATAGTTATTAGCAATTTTTTTTTCTTCTAAATGACAGGTAAAACCTTACAAAGTGGTTTTTTTTTTTTAATATTATTGAAATATATTTACTTTGACAGATACTGTAAAGTAGAACATTTATAAAAGAATTATCATTAATTCTTTTTCAAGTTTTATTATTATTGCAATTACTTTTTAATTAAAAATTCTGAAAACATTTTTAAAAAATCAGGGACAATATGAAATTAAACATACCTGGACAGTACTAAATATTCCAGCAGCTTTCCGTAGACATTTATGAACTTCTTTAGCTTCATCCATGTTTATGCTTATAAAAAACATATATATTATTTTAATCATAACTATGAAAACAACAGCTAATAAAAGTAAATATTCAGATATATAGTAGAAGTTTGTTAATCTGGCACATGATAATCTGGAATGTCTGCTAATCTGGTATCCTCTGAAAAGCAGCCATTCATCTAGAATTGTCCAATAATAATAATCCAGCATGTTAATATTCTGTGAATTAGAATTTGTTTAGACACATAGTGAATTAGAGACCCAAAGAAAAAAAAAGAAAAAAAAAATATATTGAGATAAAGGAGGGGCTATCTATTGAGAAGTCAACTGCAAGATCAAGGGCAATGTGATTAAAAAAAATAGCACTTCATTTAAATCAGGTCAGACATTATTACATATTTTGAACCAATATGCACTGGTACCAAATATACAGCAACATCCTTAACATTCACACTGCATATCACTTACCAAATTTTGCAAAAGTACAAAAATTTCCAGTAATTTGACACCATTCTGGTCTCATAAATGCCAGATTAACTTCTACTGTAATTCTTATCTATAAATCAAATCAAATTTTCTTACATGAATAAAACTTATTATTACCTTTGTTTATTTACATACAATTATATTTTTATTTTGTTTTTATGTATAGTTACATACAAAAAAGAAAAATTTGAAACATAAAAAGATACTAATTCTAATGATAGAAGGTTAGTGCTAGTGTAAAGAACAGCTCTGAAATTTATAAACCCAACAAATTTTGGCACACTATGCACTGTCAGTTACCATGTAGATACCAGAGTATGTGTTTTTTGTACTATTTCTTGCAAAATTGGGGTATATAACACTTATCCAGAACCATTTTTGCTATAAATATTATTTTTGAGTGACAATAGATGTCCTAACTTGTGTATCCATTATTAAATAGAACAAGAAACTCAGAAAAACAGAAAATTTTAACACAAATGAAACAGTGAGCATGCTATTACCACAGAAGTCTCCAGAATATTGCTTAGTAACACTTGAAAAATAGTAATACAAGTGTTATCCTTTTGCATTAAGAAAATATTTTTAGTTAAGAAAATTCTTTTCTGAACAAANGCTATAAATATTATTTTTGAGTGACAATAGATGTCCTAACTTGTGTATCCATTATTAAATAGAACAAGAAACTCAGAAAAACAGAAAATTTATTACCAATGATTGGTAAATATGCCAAGCATAAATGTCTGAGGAAAACATTAAACAGTATTGATAGTTATTTCAGAGAATACTGAAAAAATCCATCTGTCAGACTAGTGTGTAGCTACAAATCCCAGCAAAAACAGTGCCACAGGGTAAACATAAAAGGTTCCTAAATTATTACAAAAGTTGCTTCTAGCCCTTGATATAATAATATCAATTAAATTAAAATATCCACAACCGTGAGGCAGTTTCACAACCGTTTTCATACTTATGTAGTAACCTTTTCTGTTTATTAAATTTTTTTCACTTTAATCTCTGAGCGTTTGTGCCCATCATTTGGTCTGATAAGCCCTCACTATTATCTGCCTCACGATTGTGGATATTTTAATTTAATTGATATTATAAAAGGTTCCATTTATATGTGCACAAAATTCACTTATAACAACAAATTAAGCCAGAAGACAAGACAACACAAATAAACTTTGTAGAAACAATATTGGCAAAAATTAATACCAATAACAGATTCCTTAACTGAGTATGCTTTTTGGACAAGGCAGTAATCCATATGTCTAGAAAGTAGACAGACATAATTGCGACATCTGAAGTCTCAAAATTCACACATTGTATATGAATACAAATGGGATTCTCCAGAACCTAATATTTGGTATGATATCATAAAGGATAAAACATTTATATCTTTCTTTTTCTTTTGTAGAGGCCATAATAACTGGACCAACATACTTGGTCACATTATAGAAATATGCTGTAACTCAGCTTCCTGAAAAAATTCTTTTCAACACAATGAGCTCTACCCTCATCCTTGTCAATGATGTCTACACATTCTTGAATAGTCTCTTCACTGTAGGATGAATTGGGAGAGAATCACCATTCATTGCTTGGTCCCTGATCACACTCCATCTGACTATTTCCACTGGAGATTCGTTAAGAATCAAGTATATGATAATATGTAATCTGGTATGTAACGAATAGTATGTAATCTGAAAGACGTACATAAAACGATTTGTGCTGAAATCAACAATGTAATACCACAAATGCTTCTCAACACATGGGCTGAGAAAGAATGTCAATTGGACATTTACTAGATCACTAGTGAAGCTAATATTAAAGTTTACTAGGCATCTGAATATATTTTGAGGTTTTGGTATCAAGAAGAATGTATCATTTGTAAATTATGGTAGGTTTGGAGCATATGATAATTGTTTTATTAATTAATTAATTAAATGTCTAAGCAGAACACTCTGTATCAAAGTATTTTAATAATAATTAATATACATGTATAAAGATTAATTAATAAATAAGGTCTATTGCAATGTTCTACCAAATGTAGAGACAAATACATGACCATCACACTTTAGCAGCCACAAGTGTCTAATCTAATGTGTCCAGTCTTAGTTTGTGGTATTGCATCATTGCAAAATAGACATAATAAAATCGTCTTCCTCATTGCAGACAAAGCAAGACAATCAGTAATTAAATTTTTAGTGCCAGAAGATTGTGTATAAAGTAAAAAAAATCAATTCAATAAAGTATTGTAAAAATCTTATGATCAATCAAGAGCAATTTTTTTCTTGCACCATGATTATTTAAGACTGCCCTTCAATAAGGAAACAATGAAGATAAGTATTTATCTGAAATTATAGGTTACTCTTCATCCTTATAGTCCAGATCTGACACCATAAAACTTCTTAAAATTAAAAACAGTATTGAAAAGTCAATGCTTTTTGAAAATTAGATAACAAAGGCTTAAGTTGCTGTATGAGAATGAATCAAAGAAATATGAAACGTTTTTTTATGAACAAAATGCAAAAGTGTATTAAAAATTTATAAACATAAGACTTTAAATGACTATTATTTCAAAAATAATTTTGTGAGATTAAAATAAATGATCTTTACTTCTTTTTAAAATTCTTCAAAATTTGATGTAATTTAAACTATAAAACAATAAAACAAAACAAGTGGTTATTATGATGTGAAGGTTACGGATGTACGAGACAAATCATTCCAAGAATATCAATTAAACAATAATTTATTATAACAGGGATTTACAGGTCTTTTAGAGATGCCCGTCAGAGACAAAACACGAATATACAATAGGTCTCCACTCTCGTCCAAAATCTTACAAAATTTAATGATCACAATATATGGTCTAATCACTAACCTATAATTAACTTATATCTAACTTAGTCTAATACTATACTAATAAGAGGAAAGGGAAGGAAAGACAGAAAAGGTCTACCGGTAGTTAGCTCAGGAGGTCCTGATGGTGGTTTCCCGAGGTGAACAGGGTGCGGCCCTGCCCGTGGGGTGAGAAGGACACTTTTTGCCTGGACGACGAGGAGAGAGGGTTAAGAAAATCTCGTCGAGACACTAAGTCAGACCCAAGACAAAGAACCAGCCCCATGTGCGAGGTTTAGCGCAGTCCAGAGAGAAGAGAAGAGGACTAGCGACTTAATTGGTGAAAGATAATAGTCTAAGAAAAATAAGTGCCAAGATTTATACCAGGAATGTTGAATATACCAAAGTCGGCCGAGAAAACCCCCGCAATATTCGGAAACCACCATCAGGACCTCCTGAGCTAACTACCGGTAGACCTTTTCTGTCTTTCCTTCCCTTTCCTCTTATTAGTTTAATATTAGATTAAGTTAGATATAAGTTAATTATAAGTTAGTGAGTAGACCATATATTGTGATTCTTAAAAATTGTAAGATTTTGGACGAGAGTGGAGACCTATTGTATATTCGTGTTTTGTCTCTGACGGGCATCTCTAAAAGACCTGTAAATCCCTGTTATAATAAATTATTGTTTAATTGATATTCTTGGAACGATTTGTCTCGTACATCTGTAACCTTCACAATGGCGTCCGCGACAGGATGCCCGTTGTAAAAAGAACTCTCGTTCAGATCGATCTTCGAAATTGAGTATTGTATAGTTTTAAGGTAACTGTTCATTTATCTTAGTCAGTTATGGACCGGGAGGACGAGCAAGTTTTAGAGCATAAGGGAGAAGTTAAACTTGAGAACCTTCCCATTGTAGTTACAGGGTTTTTGGGAATGATCCCTACCTTCTCAAATTCCCCGAGCGATAATGTTAATATAATTCAGTTTTTCCGCACGATGGATAACATATCGCGACTAGCAAAATGGGGAGATGATGTTAAGGTTGCGGTTTTACAAGCCAAACTGAAGGGAGATCCGTTAAGTACGTTTATGTGTTTGTTAGAGCACACCCCCATACCAGATTTCGGAGAAATAAAGCGGAATTTGATAAAATGCTATGAGAGGTATGAAGGTGGAGAAAGAGGGTATTTGGATCAATTGCTGAACATAAAGCAAGGAGGGAGAGAATTAATTAGTGATTATATTGTTAGGACAAAGACGGTTATGTCCAGGGCCATCCAGAAAAACCGTACTGTTGTTTCGTTCAAGGATGACGTCATTAAGGAAAGATTTATTAGAGGTCTCCATCAGAATATCCGTTGCTATGTGAGCCGCCGTGAGCCTGGGACGTTAGAACAGGCCTTCGAATGGGCCGAGAAGGAGGAACGTGTGGAGAGAGAATGTGGTAGCTCACGGGAAATTAGAAATATAGGTTACAATGCCCACAGTGATCAACAGTATGAGGAGGGAAGGGAAAGCGCTAATCCTGTAATGCTCCACAGGGATGACGATCGCTTGGCAAGTTTAGAAAAAGGTATGAAATCCCTTCTCGAAGTCGTGACGAAGCTAGTCGAAACCCGGCCAGAAAGGCGCGACTATCCCGGCCGCCGGTGCTTTATTTGCGATAGCCCGAATCATCTTGCCCGTAGATGTCCAAATCGTA